ATGGGGTACAGTTTTTGCGCCTAGAGGACCTCAGAAGGACCTTTTGAATACTTTGGACCACTCTGGGTTTCAACGTATGGCATGTAGGGAGGGAAAACTGAGAAGACACACGAAGGTTCGTTTACTTCGCTTTTCTCTTAACTATTCTGTTCGAAAAGGTTTGCAGGAAAAACACCAAGGAGTAATCTGGCCAGTTTTGGCTGCGTGATCGTTTTGAAAAATGAGCTCCAGATGAGTATCCTGGACTTTCACTTGTCTGTCTACTGGGATGCTGTGGCGGTCTGACTACAGCATTAGGAGCTGGATTACCTTCTTGGCAGCAAACAGACCCGAAATGATATGCACTAGGTATTCGTTCATCGTTGATTTCCGACCAGACCGCTACGTTCTTTGTGTTGGCACCTTCAGAAACCCTTAAAAGGAATATAGGACTGGTCTATGGTACCGGGATTAAAATGAAACATTTGCACCATATATGTTACACGTAGAAAGTATAGACCCCCAAAGCGCAGGTAGCTGGTGCAGACAAATCGATCGGGATAGTTAAACAGTCGATCAATCTAACCATCCTCCAAAACAGTACACATAAAATGTCACTAAGCCAGGCAAGCGTTCCACGTTTTGCACCCGAGTGATATCCATTTCGTCCACATCTGATATGGTACACCAACAGCTTTCTTGAAACTGTCTGGACTGTGCCTATGAATAAGCAGGGAGCGACAAATAAGTGCAACCAAATAAAGTTTATCGCATGTCGAGAACTCGAACCAAACGACAACCGTGAACTCAACGAATTGCTGAGACACCGAAAAGACTCGTCAATGAATTTGCAGAAACAAAAACTTTAACCAATTTCTACTTACCGCGACACTTCCTTCAAACAAAGTCGAGACTTTCCTCAGTAGCGAAAGTATTAGGAACGTCAGTAAGTATTTACTAAAACGAGACAGCAAACCTGTGTTTCTCGATTGCTGTTTCAGAAATCGGATATTTGGGGATTGAAGGTGATTAGGTGACGGCGGATAATAAACGGTAGTAATGGGTAGCGGCATTTTTGGTCCGACGTGATCGTATTTAGTCAGCTCGCTAGTATTGTGCGTAATTCAAACACGGAATCCAGCCATCACAAAACGGCGAAATTTTGGCGGACAAGGCGTTTATCGCTTGTGTCATGAGCTATGAAACGCTGTAGGGAATATCTTCCGGTGCTTTAGACACCAATTCGAAAACTAATGCCATGGCGGAGTGAAACACTAAGAAACTGTTATAGGCAAAGACGTGCATTCTCCGGAGTTGGCGCTCATGCCGTACGCTCAAATAACGTCTCCGAGACACAAAACTAGTGCTGCACGTAGCATTTACAGTTACAAGATTTGTGAGCCACTGAGTACTTTATGCTAATTGAAACTCAGTATGGGAATGAATAGGCCACGACCAACAGTACGATCACGGAAGAACGCAAAGTACGACCATGGCACAAACGCAACCATGAAGAACTGGGGACACGAAGCGTGGAGTAAACTGCAAGCAGATGGTACGCAGGTAAAAATGCAAGGTTCAAATCTTGGTCGGGGTGTACGTCAAAACCAAGACATACATAAGCAGGGTTAGCCAGAGAACACTGAAAATAGGTATACGTTACAGTGTCCATGGGCTCCGACGATTTACGATATATATATATATATATATATATATATAATTTGGACTGGTTGCCAGATCTTCACTGGAGCTGTTTACAATTCGCGGAAGAAATGAAATATAGGTTGGGACTGTTGGATGATATCCACAGTTTGGCTGACTGGTGTCTGCCTAGTAACGTCGAAAAATTCAGACTGATGATAGTTGCCTAGGCGCGCGGGACTGTAGGTTAGGCGGTTCCAAAGGTGCGGACGATAGGTCTTGGGGCGCTCATGCTTGTCAACATCAGAACGAACTAACACACTGCGTTGGCCTTACGGACCTTAAGGAAACTCAAGATGATATTTCACACAAGAAGTTTTAAGCTATTCAAACTGCTTAACTCGACGCTCTCGTGACCGAAAATAGAGCATAGACATCCCGTACACGAAAGAGGAACACCAACTGAAGCAAGCACAGAGACTGGATACCCGAACAGTAGCTGGAATATGGGGAGTCACGGTGCCAAACGATGAAACTTTATACGCTTGAATACAAATGTTGCACGGCTGGCTGGACTGTTATTCTTGTCCAGGGTTGTTAAACAGAGATCCGGAGCAACTGCATTTGCTCGCACCTACACAAATGCACCTACAAAAGGCCCAGTTCATGGGCTGAAAATTCGGCGGATAGACGGTTTGCTATACACCGATATTCCAGAAGAGCGAGAAAGGTGGAAAATAACTTACAACGCCAGTCCAAATCTCTACCAGCCAACCATCTCATTGAACGGAATCTTGCTGAAAACGGACGAACGAAGAAACCAAAGCGATGTACCCTAACAATCAGAATTACAGTCAGTACCTAGCTCAATCCAGCATTTTGATTCATAACCATTTATTACCGCCCTAAACCAGTAAGTTTATGGCACTGAGGTTAAGGAAATTGCGAGAGAGCAATCGATTATTTCGCTGATTACTGCTGAGGTTAAAATCCGTACAAACATTTTATTGGCGGACTTGTGATACTGAAATTCACCATGAAAGACCGCTATACTACTGACCTAAACACAACAAAATTAAAACAAAGAAGTGCTCTATCCTGAAGGCAAGGACGAATGTGATTACTGTCAGGATAGAGCGCTGTTCTGGCACATGTGAGGATTACGTCGCGAAGCAGCCAAGTACATATCACCGTAAGTCCGGATATCCTCGACAAATGTGGAATTCGGGGAATCGTAGTTAGGATTTAAACTGCCACCGCACAAACATGTTTTTGAGAGATGCAGCCTATCATTACCGGAGAGTAACTAGTGTAAAGTGCATGAAACTATCTTTTCCGGGAGGTCAACTTAACTACTGCTCGAGCTCAGGTTCAGATTGCTTCCCTTGTAATCGCAAAAAGTTAGCGTCCAATGTTCGCCACCACCTGCCCACTCTGGACTCTTAACTGAAGTGTGCTCACCAGATCCGCCGCTGTTATACCCCGAGTAGGGTGAGCAGTGCTGAAGTGGTCACCCTACAAGCTTTCCGTGGGCATACCTCACGGTAGAACGGGCCTTTTGCTTTCAGAAAATATATTACCCCGAACAAGGACAGTGCAACACTTGGCGCCTGATACCAGCGTATTCGGCCGCCAGAACCAATTACAATGAGTAGCCAACTGCACCTACATGTTGGTACCACTAATGGAAACTGACATGGTGCTATTAACATGCGAAACCAAAAATCGATATGTGGATTTGCACCACGGGCGGAAAGTGGACGGATACACAGGATTCAGCAAACTGGCGATCACGAATTACAATCTGACTAGTGATACCTTTGACACCAGCCTATCGAAACAGAACCATCAATTCGGAGCTTGCTTGGATTCTCAGATCTCACAGAGCAAACTATACCTCAATTAGGGAGTCCGAGAAATTCCAGTTCTATGTGACACAAGATAGATGGCTACGTCGATCTTAGAATTTCATCGCTTTTTAATCCTTGTAAGCTATCACTTCCCGTCGACGAGTGCTATTAACAGCACGGAATACAAATCCCCGACAACCTGGTTTGGGATGACTGACCAATTTTGGTATACCCGAGAAACACGATCTAGGGGTACAGAAGGCCTTGCACGATGTGGCCGTCGTAGACCGAGTAAGGTGTAAAACCTGATATTGATAAAGACGCCTAACATGTTTAGCAGTGGTTCAATGGAGGATATGGGTGTGGGTAAATAACGGTACATGCAAAATGAGCACGTTACAAAAGTGTATCGAGATGTGTAGTGGGCGGATAAACGCACAAAAAGTGAGTGTATGAGCTCGAGATCGCTTAACGGTTAAGGCGCATACTCACTGACCGGAACGTCCATTGTTTCAACCAAACCCCGGCACCCTGACCACTGCTGTCTAGCCTCGGGCAATCTGGAAGTACATCAGCCCTCGTGCTTCCTTCGGGGGTCGCGGTGGCTGGGCCCCGGAAGGATGTTACAGCTGAACGATCGGTTATACGGCAAAATAAACCCTAGACTGAGTGGGAAATTAAGCAGTCTTCAGTCCAAAGGCGTTTGGTACAGTCTACTACATCAATCGGAGCCGATCAGGCTCGAGTTGGTGAGGTAGTTCATTTCAACTGACTCGACCAAAAGCTGCGAACTTGACGTAGTTGTGAAGCTTAAGTACTGCAGTGGTCCCGTGGCTACATTGCTAAAACTCCGTTTCCTAACATGGAGTCATATCGTGAATACCAATAGTAGTCAGGTACCGTACTACGGTGCGGTCCAGGAGTAAACCAATACTCTCCTCTGCGACTGACGTGTGAAGGTTGTGCTAAGTTTTGCGTAGGTGACCAACATACTCACATTTAAAGAAGCAGTAACGCTGCTCCTTCCCTAATCCAAAGGTGAGTTAGAAAAGGTCATCCATAAAACCCATACAGTCCAGATGCTCCATCGCACGGGCAAATTATCCATTGCGGTCGAAGTAAAACTAAACCGAAAGAAAGCCCGATGCGGCTCAAAAGCATCTGTAGTGCACAGTAGCGTCAGCAGTGAGACACCCATGCCTTGCTCCCTCCGGGCCCTCAGGCTAAGCCAGCCCCAACCAGGTAACAGTGGTCCTGGGTGGAATCCCCCAAAGGCTCAAGGTGGGGTACCAAGCTCATTCATCGGATTGGGGAAGCGAGAAGTATCATTTGTCCTTACAGCTTTTCTTCCATCAGTATTCAATAAGTTCCGTGCCGCCAGTCCCCCAGCTATATCTCTTATGCTACTCCGTTTTCAGTGACGATAACTGTAGCGACTGGAACGAACGTGCTGTTGAACTGCACCGAACTGAACTAATTAGTCACGTGTGCCAACGAAGAGACAAATAATGTAATTTGATGAGAATTGGAATTTATGTTATTAAACAATTTTGTACAATCCAACGTGATTCTGAAGAGGCAGCGCACCCGAAGATAGCTTGAAATATAAATGCTTTGACAGGTCAAACGGAAATTACGTGTACACGAGAAAAAAAAACAGAAAACAGAGATCGGAGCCGACTTATATACAAAGGACGGACATAAAATGGCAGACCAAACATTGTGCACTTGGGGACAGCTGAGGGGCACTAAGATCAAGGAACATCACGTAGGTTTGTTACTCAAAAATATCAGGAGACTCTTTCGCCATATAAAGACTACCTGGTTCGATGTCTGGTTTCGGTGAAATGGAGTGTGAAAGTGGACGACGAGGCAACAAATCATCTGTCTCGTCAAGCACCGATTCTTCGTCGCTCTGCGACTGCAATTTATGACTATCGTGCTTCCAATCGAAACAAGATGATGCCAAAGAGACTGGAGGGATCGCGGAAGTGACAATTGGTCCCTCCGAAACCGACTGTTCGAATATTGTGGATTGTTCTGGACTTGATTCGCTAATCTTGAGTTTTGTATGGGAGAGCTCATCCGACAAGTCGGAGACAGTGTCAGCAGGGTATTTCTGTTCCGTCGGAGACTGGTTACCTGTCATTTCGTCTTCTGGCCGATATTCGCTTTCGGAAGACGATAGGATACGTCTCCGGTTCTTACGCTCCACTCGGGGGGTATTGGAAACATGCACCGAACCTCGATCGGCACTTCCACCAGACAGGTTATCGTTAGACGATTTCTCGTCATCGCTAAACCCTCGCCTGGCCTTAGTTCTTAGCTTCTGAAATGGCGGATCGTCTTCATCTTGTTCATCAGACTCCCGGTAACTGACAACAGTTCGATTGCGCCTGTAGGTAAACAAAATACAAAGCAAACGGGAGTCTAAGAAGATGAGTAGAAACAGATCAGGGGACCTAATGACCTACGGTAAGAATGTACTGGCAGGACAATAGGAATGATATATGAACTATTGCCTGCCAAGTGAGCAATTAGCATACACATCAGTCGACTATCCGACTAACAGAAACTTAACTACTCCCGCGAAGTTTCCGAATAGGGAAACCAAACTCTAACTGATAAGCTAGTTTTTAAGACAGAACAGACATTTGAGCACTCACAAGGTATCTGCGGTTAATTGGCCACACCGAATGATGGGGCCACAGTTAACGTGTCCAGTGGGAACTTCGAAGGTTTAAGCAACAGGGCGCTTATTGGTTTGCAAGCATCAAGGTCAAGGTACGCCGCTAGTCTGAAACATACCTTGTAAGTGGGGCGGTTTCCAACTCAAGTAGGTGTATAATCATCTATTTCGGAATTCCACACAGTCTCCTTGGATGCTGACATTAGTAAGCGCAAGTAGGATGGAGACAATTGGGTGATTGTTTTTGATTTGACGAGATCACCTTGATAACTGAGGGCTAAGTGACGAGCAGATACTCACAAGAGGGGGCGAGATGGTCCAAGTGGTTAGAGCGCGAATTTACTGACCGGGAGGTCCGTGGTTCGAACCCGACCTCTGCCTCTCAACTTCCCCTGTCTAGGCTTGGACAATCTGGCACGACCCTGGGTCCTTTCGGTTGCTCAAATAAACATCAATTCAAAATAGTGGCGTGGCACCGACTTCCGGATATGCACGCCATATGTACACCGACAGACCCCGCTAGGGAGAGGTAACGCTAAGATACGTCATACAGGACAATCGACGTGCCGCAATAAAAAATAACGACAAACAGTTAAATCTCACACTCTGTGCAAAATCTGACTGGTGGTCCACACCGCCTCTTTTAGAGCGCACTCAAACGCCTACCTAATATTTGATGTGGTGTGAATGAAGGCTGTCAAGGGAGGTCCGTTTAGACTATTGCAGAAGTGTACCATCGAAAAGCTCAGTATGCTTCGTGCGTATCTACAGACTCGAGTAAAATGACTAGACAGTTACAGGTGTTTGTCACGGACAGACTTGTCGTATACATCAGGCGCAAGTTAAACCCGGATCGCACACGTACGAGGTTACACTGTGGCCAGGGTTTGATTTGCTACGGACCATCTGACGGCAGTCAGATGGTCCGTAGCAAACATCGTAACAGGCTAGTCGACGTACGCATAGACCAACCACCAGGAACGATGTCAACACGTACAAATTAGGCTTCATATGCAATCTTAGAATCAGCCAGACCGACGACATATTCCTAAGAAAGCTGCTGACAACTGCCATACCATTCACAACAGAGCCGTAAGTTGGGAAAACTCACTTTGGGCGATGAAGAACCTCGCCAGATGCTTCGTTTTCACTTTCTTCGAATTGAGGTATTGGTCTTCTCCGTTTTCGAAGGCGATTTTGATGACGAGAAGGCCTGACGGATCGGTTCCTTTTCTTGCGGGCGCGACGGGAAGCACAAAGCCAGCTATTGTCACTACTAGTAGCACTGGAACTACCGAACTCCTCACCTTCCAGTTCAGATACCTCACTTGATACACCAGAAGGTTTGAAATCGGTATCATCGTCAACACTATCACGATGGCTTTTCCCGTCCACATCTGATTCATCCGATGAGCTAGACAGCTGACCGCCCAATCGGCGTCGTCTGGACCTCGGTTTGCTAGGTTCCCAGTCTTTCCAATCGGGACCGAGAATGTTTGATAGGTCCTTCCCACGAGAACGACCACCTGGACGTTCGGCAGGCTCCTGCGAACCAGCCTCATTACCGGATGCGTCAGATGCGTTCGTTTTACGACTCTTCCGAAGACGCTTTTCTTGTTGATACTTTTCGTCCTCCTCCAGGACTTCATCAAGGTGCTTGAATGCTTCTGAAAGATTATAGTGCGCCTGTCGTTTTCTTGTTGAGCGTGGAGCGGGGACGGGTGGAGACTCAGCTGAGGAGTCAGATGAAGAGTACGTTGTCACCTCACTTTCTGAACTGGAGTTAAGCCGTACTGCACGTCGATTTCGAGCAGTTCGTGGAAATCGAGTGCGCGGCTTAACCCCCCTCACTCGTTGATTGCCTTCGGAATGATCGTCGTCGTCGCTAGAAGCAGTAAAACTCTCTGCCCCACTACTTGGGTCTTCGGATAGTCCATCTGACGAGTCTGATTCTCGATATATAATGCCTTGTCTCGATCGATTCCTTGTCCGACTTACTTTATCAGCGTCTCCATCGTCCTCATCTGCCAATATGTTCGTCATGCTGATATTGACGTAGTTCAGTCGTTCTTGCATTCGCTTGAAAAGAGTTTGTTTCTTTTGCTCTGCATCAACTGCGTCTGCACATTCTGCTAGAGCAGATACCAAGGTGGCGTGTTGACAACGCGGGCAAAACCAATCCCCCTCAGGAATGATGAGCAGCGGCGGCCGCAAACACATTGCATGATGCCCAAGATCGCAACGGTCACACAACAACATCCATTCAGGCAAATGGCAGCGAAAGCAAACTTGACATGGAGACTCCTGTTCGGGTACTAGGTGACTTGCACCTACGCTGCTCAGCTTCCGCTGTAGACGTTTCTGTCTAGCTAGATTGCGTCCTTGTGTAAGACTGTCAGCGTCACTATCAGAGCCGATATCGTCTGGATTGAAATCACTTTCAGGCTTGTCATTCCAGTCTGAAATGCTATTCGCCTTCTTTGCACGTCGCGCATCTGAATCGCTACTCTCAGCAAATTGCTGTTGTAAAGCATGCTCGAAAGTGTCATCTTCATCAAACGATTCGCTAGAAGAGGAGGAGCAAAGCCAGGGGTTAGAGCGACTGCCATCCTTCCGACGGCGCCTCCTCTTCTTTTTCTTGCGTCTCTGCTTACTTTCATTGTTGTGGTTGCCTGAAATGGTGCCGATATCACCAGGTACTTGCGGGAGCTTGGATTTGGACCCACGCTTTTTCGAATGCTTCGACAAAACAATTTTATTTCCTTCTTTGGTGTGTACCTCTTGTGGCTTGGTCACCGCTGCGCTCGAGCGAGTTCGTTTAGGTTGCAAGGTTTCCATTGTTAAAAATTCGACCGGTTTTCTTTGGCGACCACTACGCCGAACTTCGGTCGGGTCATTTCCATTTGGCTTGACCTTGGTTGTGCGCTTATTTGACTGGCATTTCTTACCATTCTCTGCCGGTTGGGTACATTCACCATTGATAACCTTTCCATCTGTTGTGCTTTCATCATCCCCTGGAGGCTGAGGATCCGGTTTTACGCAGTGGATATTGTCTACAGAGTTCTCCTCAGCTTTCTCTCCAATAGGACCTTCTGAACTAAAATACAGTAAAATTAACAGAAAGTAGTGTTAGATGATGCTGTGCACACCAGATGAGGATATACAGAAACAGGCCCAAAGCGAATCTCCTTCTTTGGCCTGAGCGACCAGAAAGTAACATCTAACCACACAGCTTAGTAACAGAGAATAGTCTCCTTAATTTATCAGCTCCACATCCTATTACTACCTATGCAAATACTATCCCGTCTGTTTGTAGCTCCAAAAAATTGGCGTCGATTCCTGACCCTATACCCAGAAGAATGGAGCCTACACATGCCCTACTAATACAGAAGGATCTTCTCAACGTAGCAGCGTTTAGTCTGTATCCTTTGTCAGATAGGTCAACAGACCACCCTTGCTCAAACCGTTTTCCTCTTTGAGAATGTGTATTATGCCTCCGAAACAAGCACACGAGAGCCTACTACAGTAATGCATCTGTACACGATCCAACGTAGTCCGCTTTATTCACGGTTTCTCTGAGTGTCAGGTGATCTGGAAACAGTGACCCGTCGTCTAAAAGGTGTGAGTATTGCTTTGAATGCGGATGATAAACTGTACGGATATCAGCATTCTGGCTGGCGATTCAAATTTTCACGTGGGAGGAATCGACATGAATGACAGGAGCATCGGTGAAAGACTCGGTAGAAGGCGCTTCCAAAATGAACAACGATGATCAATCCCAAAACTATGCGCTGATCATCATCTAGTTACGGCAAGTACAAACATGGGTGTTGCGTGACCTGGCGCCCTTTAAACCACAGCCAATACAACACCCAGAATGATCTTATGGCAGGTGGCTATAGATGGCCATCTCGTGTTCGGACACGTACGATGAGTTAGATCGCGCTCTGGTTCTTGTTTGGGTTGCAGCATGTCCCACAGCAACCAAGAAAATCACTTATCGTTATGATAATTACTAGCTGCATGATTCGGTCGCCAAAGAATTCCAGCAGCAGCAAGTTACGAACAGGAAACATGTCAGTCTGTCAAAAAATGGCTCAATGGAAATCCAAAACGCTGTGAACGCTATGTTTGACTATGTGCTAAATGAGGTCACAGCCTAATTTAAGTCACACCTCACAGCAATCCACGTCTCTGACAGGGCAAGCTGGGCTAACCAGAGAAGCACTCGGTGACCATGTGACCTTTGTTGATCCGACTCCAAGGCGCTTCTTGTTTCTTGGTTTGCTAATCTTATATTTGTCTCTCTTTACGTACTCCAGTTGAGATACTGGTCCTTTGCACGTAGTAACGCGTAAATTGGATCTAGTTCAATCCATCGGTTGCTCTAGTCCATGGTTCAATATCATGCTTCCAGAAATTCCCTTCCTTGTCTCGTGTCTCGTGTCTCTCATCATCATCATCATCAAAGGCACGTAGTAACGCGTAAATTGGATCTAGTTCAATCCATCGGTTGCTCTAGTCCATGGTTCAATATCATGCTTCCAGAAATTCCCTTCCTTGTCTCGTGTCTCGTGTCTCTCATCATCATCATCATCAAAGACAGCAACATCAGTGTTGGCACTGATGCTTCACTGCCGTACAGCCATAAGGTTTATCTAGTTATATATATATACCTATGTCAAGCATACTGAGGTGCCTACACCTCCAACCGCTCAATCAGACAATCTGGAAAGAAACTGACAGCACGAACGCCACTGACATCGATTAGCCACCATTTCTTGCAACGTCTTCAGCCAAGCAGACGGGGTCACGGGGACCCCATCCTGGAAGTCGCACAACACCAACAACACCCAAACTCTTTGTGATCTCTTTGACGATTTTCTGCCAAGTCATGTGCTGTCCACCTTGCGGTTTGCGCCATCATGAAGCAGGCACGAAGAACAACACTCGTCTCCGTAGACCGTGTTTTGGCATGCGTAGCACATGACCGAGCCATCGCAGTCGATGATGCTGGATGTTCTTCCGGATTGAGGTGCCTGCAGCACAACTAAATACCCGTTTTCTAATCGCCTCGTTACTGACGCCATCCACAACCAGCCACGCTTCTGAGACATCGGTGGTCGAAAACCTGAAGACTCCTCACATCATCTGTCCGCAGAGACCATGTCTCGCACCCATACAACAACACAGCCCTTACTGTGTCTCTATGTCTCTATGTGCGAAGATTTCTGCGACTTCCAGATTAAGTTTTCGACCCTGGTCTTCATGTATGGATATCAAAGATAGGGTCTCATGTCTTCTAGAAACATGGCACTCCACGACGGACTTGATCAATCGATGGACTGAACTAGACCCAATTCACGTATTACAACGTGTAAAGGACCAGTATCTCAACTGGAGTACGTAAAGAGACAAATATAGGATTAACAAACCAAGAAACCAGAAATGCTTCGGAGTCGGATCAACAAAGGCCACAACCTGGAACCGAGAGGGGTTAAAGACAAAGGTCAACCCAACGCCGACCAGAGTGCGAAAGCAGGAGAGGCTTAACCCATAGGTCACGTGGTCACAGACCAATCAGGACAGAGGATAACAGAGCAACCAATGTTAACGCCCGACCGAACAACCAATCCTGATCGAAGGTCAACACCGGCTAGCAGCACGTATATTAACAAACACGCAACACTACTCAACGCACAACCACTGTCCGAAGGCTAGCCGTCTCTAATAACCGAACATCACATCATTTGGATGGATGTGTCACGTACAGGACACGGGCCAAACGAAGGCATGCCCTGATTGGTCAGAATGCCAGCCAATCAGGATCGAGCATCTTTGACCCTCCTCACGGAGATTTTAGCATGACTTTGTGGGACACTCTGTGATACAATTGTAATAATCCACCTTTGGCTCCATAAAGGGCTGTGTAGAGCTACCGTGCCTTGTGATATACCATAGTGGGCGGAGCAGAAAGCCAAGGGAACAATACAGAGTTGCACTACCGTTCAGTAAGACACAACAACCATCAACCAGTCGCTACGTTCCCTAACAACGCACTGATGATGTCACCCTGATTGGTAATGAAACGTTTGCAATAAAATTGCGTACCTTGGCGAAAAAACTAATAACCATACAGACATGTCTGAATCCAGAGGCGTCACTATTGGGAGTGTCCAGTTCTAAGTGTCACTCATTCAAGTGGAAAGTATTGTAAATTACAAGGTTACAGAAAGCTCATGATGTCATTTGGATAGGTATTGGCGCCCAACAGGTATCAGCACCGGCAATTCGTCAAGTCAAGCCTTGTTGTAGGATTTCCAGCGGACACATGGATGTCATGTAATATAGAGGACCAGAAAACGACTCACCAACCATATTTCTTGATGCTTGCATTCTGACACGGCCCTCCCGACACTAGAACTCGCTATTCTGTAGTTTCGTGGTTGTGCGATAGAGAAGGGCATGAAGCTGTTTTCGTACCTACTCGACCCGTTACACATTAAGGATCACCTCACATTAAGATCCAAACGATAGTGTCCGACTTGATGGCACCAGCTGAATACAGAAGATACATCACAGTATGCACAGCTGGAGCATGCGGTGTTTTATCGAGCGTGATGCACTTTCTCAATTGGATTCCATAGCAGTGAAATAGCTCTTAACGATTGAATTTTTGGTCGCACGAGGAACCTCTGTAGGACTCTGATAGGTTTGGTCCATGCGAGATAAAGGAAACAGAAGTGAGTGGTAACCCCTAGCTACAAAAACCAAATCAGAATCATGCAACAGCGAAAGAAATCCTATGCTACGGCAAGGCTGTACATCAACTGCTCATTTACAGTACCCGTCACAGTAGCTCCGCCTGACGACGTTCCTTATCAGTTCTATTTTGACGTGTCTCTAGGTAATGCGCTTGCATTAAAATGGACAACTAAAAAAACGACGCTGTTCTATTTGAAAGCGGAACAATCAATTCCACAGCTAAACTGACAAAAAAGAACACTATTTATGGTTGTGTACCTCAAAGGTGATGCCTTGGTACATAGTTCCGTGTCCTCAGTCTTTATTAACAGGTTAGATGGTACGACGGGGGCTGCCGATCCGTTAGTGACGGTTGGTATCGGCGTAGGTGGGGGCGTGCTGGGGGATGGAGGAAATGGTTTCACCTCCCGGTCCATGACAGAACTTGCCGAATCCAATTGTTCTGACTCAGTGGTGGCGATACCGTTGTGAAGCAAAGTAGTTGCTATTGTCTCCAATAAGGAATTAGATGGAGTGCACTGGTGAACCAGAATGTCAGCCAACTTGGATTCCGGAGGGCAAGCATCTTTGAGTTCGTGATGCAACTGGCGAATTTCATCAGTTGTTTCGCAAACCAGCTAAAAAAGTGAGAATACAGGGAGATTTATGCATTGCCCACTAAAGTAAGTACGTCACTGGTGCACTGTATTGAATACTGGAATGAAAGAGCTAACGATTATGAGGATGATGTTTGAAACTGATATTGAAACGCCTGACACTGGCCTATAATTCTGTTCAAAAGCACTAGTGTTCCGGCACTGGTAAAGAGAAAAAAGATAAAAAGGAGTAACCGCACACCGAAAATATGGAAAGCACAATTCTAAAAGTTGCGAAGTGCCTTCGGGGTCATGAAGGCAACTTAAGTCATTCGGACAATCAAGGACATGCAAAGGACACGATTTTGAGCAAGCACACCGTCGGTCTAATGTGAACTTAAAACTCGTACTTGCATGTGAAACAATCAGGGGGTAGAAACACCATCTTCTGAATAAACCACGAACTTCCCGTACAGTAGTTTTAGCTGCCAACTCAGTTTCACAAACATTGTTTTTACATTTTGGTCTAGCGCACGCACATATTCACCGAATGGGAGATATTAAGCTGCTGTGTCAAGTGCAGAGTTTACGGCGCCACAGAACGAACGACACTACTTTGGGGATTATACAGTAGGTTCCAGTTGCCTCAGTATGATCTGGGTGGGTGCCTTGGGAAACAAAAGAAGTTGCCATTTGCATCCACCGAAATCATCATCAACATCAGGTGTAAAACTGTACTTGCCGCACAGTGGTCCCAGCTGACACAATTTCTTTCACCGACTTGAGGAGATGAGGAAGACAAATGCGCATTGGAGGCGGTAGGGATATTGGGAGGGCAGCTACGCATGGGCGCCATCGAGACGGCAACTAGGACACGTATAAAAATGTCTCTAACCCTTGATGTGTCCCGTCTCTGGGTCCCCATCCATGGATACGACAATGACCAGCAGAACTTAATTTGCTGGTAATGGCTTTCATGCTTCGCTGCCAAGTCATTGATTGAACTCCCCTGGCTAGTTTCCACACACCAAGTGGTTGTGCGAAAAGGACCTTTCGACGACTGGCATACGGAACACGTGGCAGAGCCAGCGCAACCTATGCAGTACGATCAGTTATCTATCGTGCGCGAGTTACTGCTTCCAACAGCCGTTTGACGTTAGCATTGCTGATCCGGCGTTCCCACCAGACTCGGGCAATGCTCCGAAGACATCGATAGTCAGACACTGGAAACCTTTTGACCTCCTCAACGTGCAGTGGCCAGGTTTCTGATCCGTACAGTAATATGGAGCGCATCGCAGCATTGTAAACTTGACAACTGATGGATAGGCTTGTCACGTCTACGCCACAGGCGATGCAATTTCACAGAAGCTGTTCCGGCCAAACCAATCCGAATGGAAACGTCATCTTTCGTGAGATAAACGAGACTGAAACAACTGTTCAGGTCTACTACCACAATCCGTTCATCCGCAAGTGTGAGGCTAGGTTTCGAGCCAACCCAGCTTCGCAGCAGCAGTTTACACTTTGCAGGTGTGAAGCACACGCCAAACCGTGAGGCGGAATTACTTAGATCATCTAACAGTCTGCATTAACGCGGCATCGGATCTGAGAGCTATATCGTCTGAGTACTCGATATCCGTGAGCGAGTGCCATGGGCGCTTACTGGGGATGATGGACAGCATCCAGAGCCCAACGAGAAATTTTCGGAACAAACTGCACGATGAGAATAGCGGATGAATAATGCCGAAGAACGCCGAATGGTTGTTGGAGAGTGAATTGATGACCGTACATAGGCTATGCTGGAGTAGTCATAGCCCACAGACCATCGCGACCGCTTCCTTGAGGAGCACTTATTGGACAACCATTCACAAGACAGAAACCGTCTAAGTCAGTTGGCAGCGAAGTATATAATAAACTGGCGGTAAACTCAGCTGAGTTTCCAACTGTCGTCTCCTCGAAATGAGCCACACCATTGACATTGAGTGCTGTCCAGTAACACCCCATATATATATATATATGTGTGCAAATAACCCTCAGTAACACTTTTGACCAATTGGGGTGTTAAGGTTAAAAAGATGCTAGGGGTGACTCTCTGGGAGTACTGTTGTATGCGCCCATGTGAGTGTGGGCCACCACATCACTTTTTTCATTGATTGTACCTCGATTTTCCGCTTGTCCACCCTTAACAAATATGGGTATGCTGATGACTTTAGGACTGTCTCCACCTGTCTATCCTTTGTTGTTCACACACCGGTTATATTGCGTTCATGTGGATGCACGTTTAGCTCAGCGCAAGCCGCAAGTGACATTGCCAATTATGTGCGGGGGTTTGTTCGTTTCGTTCGATGCGACAGACAATAGCCCACCACAATCTGGTGTCACACCATCAACTTCAGGCTACTGACTATAAAGCCATTTGATCCATCCCTTTAAGCTCATCAATTGAGTCCTAATGAAGGCAAAAGTCCAGCGTAAGTGATCTGACTTCTTTCTCAATGGCACCTAGTTGAAGTATAGCCTTACGGTCTAGGAGTTACCAGGTCCTCCGTGAATATCATGATATAAACTGTACTCAGACCCTGACTAAGTCAACAGCTATTTGAAAAATGCAAGTTGTGGGAAACATCAATCTTCAACGGTATACGGTAATATGCCATGGGTTACAACTATCACAGCTTCATTCACCGACAACCTGGGAAAATAATTACACTGGAGGCCGTAGTTGTTGTAAATGAAACGTGAATACAGGAATGACATTGAACTTTTCATTGGAAGTATGGAAACGGAAGAAGAAACACTGAAGGCAACAGCCTGGATGCATACGCACCACCGAACACGCAACTGGGCCACGTCTGACAGTATCTCTAACCAGTGATATGTACCCCGTTCCAAAGTTTCCATCCAAGAAGGGGCCAATGACTAACACAACTGAATTTACTGGTAATCGTTTTCGTGCTTACCCAACAAGTCAATGATTGAATGCTCATGGAATGATAACACCTCCCAAGTGGTCGTGCGAAAATCGTTGTTCGAACAGGTCAATAGACTGACATAAAGGGAAGGTGACCAAGCCAGTGTAACCTACCGAATGCAACCATTTCAGCTCTCCAAAAGCTTTCAGCACCAGACTCGTGAAGTGACCCGAAGACGCCATTAGCTCGCAGCAGCCAGGTTTTTGGTCAAGAAAACAGTATACAGTGCACCAGACGAGGTGATTCCATACGTGCGACACATACGACCAAAACCATTAGTCTCTTCCCGATTCGGATGGAAATATCATCTTCAGCTAAACCACAGTGACTCATACAACTACACAGGTCTAAGAATTTGTCTTTTAACCCAATCAGTTCACCCAGGCTTGCAGCAGCACTCTACACTTTGCAGGCGTGAAGCACGGCTATGACTTCCGAGCACGAAAGCCGTGGGATTGTTTTCACAGCATAGGCAGTAGGGGATGGGAATGAATCTTTGTCGATCACACCGATGACGAAGTCGAAGAAAAAGGGGAAAGGATGCTCACTAGTGGTCAAACGTCCAGACGAATTCATGGAGTGGACAATGATGATAGTTAAGCTGTAACACCCTTTCGGTGCGTAGCCGCCATGCTACTCGAAGCACGAGGGTTGACATACTGCCAGCTTAGACAGGAGCAGTCTAGATGCCGGAGTTGGGCTGGAGACACGGACCTTCCAGACAGTAAGTTCGCGCATTAATCATTAAGCTTTCTCGGGCTGAATGGATGAGTCAAAAGTCTGCTCCAGTTCTCGGAATATACTCTTCTGCATAATTATGACCAATAAGAAATCCATGTTTTAAAAACACTACTGAATAGGTCAACATATGCTGACCCAAAAACGAACTGCTTGGTCTGTGGTGTATAGTTAAGAAGAGACTACGGGGGTTATACAAACATATACATCCTAAATATTTACAGGAAAAAATAGGCGAAAAGAATTTGGGGAGTTATACGAACAGTGGTTGAGAACCAGAGTCCGAACTTCCGTAGCTTGTGATCACTTTACAACAGCGAACCCCGAATGGTACAAAGACGCGCGCTAGAAATAGGAGAGAAAAGACCACCAATAACAAGCTTACCTGTATTTTCTCATGTTCCGCTTCTTCACGATAAAGAAGCACGTTTACTTCGGAGTCCTTCAATAACCAGTAATTTCTTCCCCAAACATCCGTACCAAGTGGTCGAAACCTCAAATCAACCGCCGATCGCAGATTTACCTTTTCTTTAAAGGCCTGGTTCCGATCGAACTGTGTCTCGAGAAGTAGCAAAAGCATTTTAGTTCGGATAGGGAAATCCAAGTCATAATAGACAAGAGGGGGTGTGGATACAAATTTTCGGTTGGTAGCCGTTGAAGGATTACCGGAACCACGCTGCAGCAAATCTCCTGCCAGAAGCAAATCTTCCGCGTCATTCGCGTGAATTTGCAAAAACCGCCCCAAGACAGGTTCCCAGCGTTCGGGTCGGGCGCGATATTTGAGCTTGTTAAGTAGCTTTATGTGCAGTGTTTCCCACTTTTTCCAGTTTGCTGAAAAGTCGGATGAAAAGGTTGAAAAGATAACAGAAGAGTAGCAGGCAGCGTACAATGAGACTTCTGTTGGATGAGTCAGATGGAGAAAAACCGAACAGCTAATGGCAAGCTGAACTGTTTTTCGATTCCTGATGTCCCAGTGTTCTAATGGCTGTGCTAGATGGTCACGAATTCACATAGCTATGCTGAACAAAAAACTGTTTTGAGATCACTGGACAAACTCATAGTGACCTCTAATAGCTGCTGGGTCTAGACAGCACAATCCATTGCACTTGAAGCGCTGTAAACTTGAAGTTTGTGACAGCGAGAAACCGAATATCCTGTGTGCCTTCTCCCACGTGTATGTTTCGGAAACAAGAGCTGCTGAGACCCAAACGAGCAACCCGGCTTCAGAGTTGTCCATAAGCGGGTGCGAGATAGCACAACGGCAACCAATGTACACAATTGCAGTAGTGACGAAACGGTGCAAAGCTCAAAATAACCTTCTTCAATACCTATACATTTTATGTCCAAAATGGGCACATGCCAGGCCTCCGGTGCGTGCCACTCATACGCAGAAACATACAATGATTAGGACTGATTTTGATCTCGTGACTCATTTCCATTCAACCACAGGCGGTTTGCGCGGAGTAGAGTAAGGTGGTGGCGCCGACGTAGATCTGGTGAAATAAGGTCGGCGAGCAAGGTTTGTCACACGTCACTAGTAGGCGTCAACATGGTGATATAATAGTGAGCGAAAGTACTGGTTCATTATTGAAGCAAATAGGCATACGTGCACATGTACATGCATATAACCACCGCGCCTTATAGGAAACCCTGAGAAACACAGAAAGTGGCCTTTATACGAAGAGATAAGTTTGTACTAATCCACTAGCTGCTCGCTGTCCAGTGTGTGTTTTATGGCTTTGAACCTTCGGCTTCCTTTATCCATACCAACATTCCACCTCCGTGCTTACGTTGCCGCTGCTTTTACGCCCGCCTCTAGCTTTCGGTTCCGGCTTCTCATAACGCAATTGGAATTTCAGTGAGTGTCGTCCAAAAACCTCTACAGTTAACCCAGTTGGATTACCAAGGAGCATGTATGAACTTTTAATTTTTAGATGAGTTAGGTCCAAATTACATATTTTCCGTTTTGCCCGGATCCCGTCATCGTCTTCAATGGTGACAGTAAAACATCAGTGCTGAAGGCCGATGGTTTAGTGTCGAAAAGCTCGTATTTGTTTGTAAGCCTTATTGAAGAAATAGTAGAAAAGGTATGAGAAGTGACCTTGTGCTAGCCTAATGCAAACGGCACGGAATGCCTACAAACCTGCAGATGTTTGTCCTGACAAGAACGCGTGGCATCGATTAACAACCCAGTCGTCGACTGAACACTAGCTGGAGCACCAGTCGAAACTGTGATAGAAAATTCTGATTTCATCGTTCTAGGAGTTGCTGTAGTTCATGATTTTGTTTGCAAACCGTTTGTACGGATGTCCAGTGTCCCAGCGAAGGTGGCAAGTATGAAACAAGACAGCCTACACAAATGACAGCAAGTTCAGTCCACCAAGTTTCGTTGTCTGATCAAAGACTCGTAAGCCAATAAAACACTCGCCAAGATGGGTTGGCGAGAAGGTCTGCGACCATGAGGTCATTCGCTTTCGTAAACCACTTCCATGCGTGATAGGATTTAGCTAGAGCAGTATCTCCTTGTAAGGGGTTTTCAATTATCCATACTTATGATCCTATGAGCCTGACGCGTTGCGAGCACCTGACCAACCATATCAACTCCTGTTTTGACTTCCGACATCACGTTGAAAGTGTCCGTACCGTAATCAGCAGATTTATTGTTAGGACAACTCATCCCACTCAAAAATAAGCGAAGCCCAGTTGAGCGGTCAGTCGGGAGGAGTTTGGTTCATGAGAACTTACGCTGACCCATAGTTTGATAGTTACCATAAATTCACCAAATGAACGCCATCGTCCGTCAACGTTCGTAAATGATTAGTTTGATTTATCAGCAGTAAACCTTGTACCATGAGGACGCTGATTCCAGCTAATAGAACTTTGATCACCGACACTTGGGAGGGCGTGGATCATACAGCAAAGCATTAGAGAGTGATGGTATATTGAATTAGCTCTGGAAACTGTGAAGGCACACCTATGATACACGAGCACCCCTGACTACATGTCCTAACCAGCGGAGCCTATGAAGCATATTTCATCTATCGCAGAGTTCCCTCTTCATAGGACCATCTGGCGTAGCCTAGCATTAGTAAACCGGTGTTCCCAACAGACCCGATCAATGCTTCGGAGACACTAATAGACGGACACTGATGTTTTCCGTATGTCCTCTGTGCGTAGAGGCAACGTCTCTGACCCATAAAGCAGTATGCATCGCACCACCGCAAACTCTGTCCATGAGAGACAAACTCAGGTCACGTTGGCGTCACAGGTGTTGAGAACGCTGCCCAGACTTTTCCTATCCGAGAAATAACCTGATCCCCATCCAGTCCACCGGAACTTACACAGCAGCCCAGGTAAATGAATTTATCCATTACGCCGACTGGCTCAATGTCTTTGAGCTGACGTCCCATAAGCATTTCGACTCCCGAGGTTCCGGAGGCAAACAGATAAATATCATGCATCACATCAATAACAAAGCTGAAGAGTTAAGATGAGAGATGGCAGCCTTGACTTACAACACTGGTGGTGGTGAACTCAGGCGAAAGTTTGCCGTATACTCGTATGCGCCCACAGGAGTGCGCACAGTGCCCTCATAAGGTGTATAGATTGGAAAATATACTGCGATATCTCGAATATCGTGCCAACTGAATCATGAGGCGGCCTGTGTGCAGCACATTCAGCTGGAGGACATCATAAACGAGAGAGTCAATTGAGTCTCCCGTGAAAACCTAATTGATTTGCAAATGAGTGTATTTCTCGAGAACAGTGCAATTTGGGTTCAAGTAGATGATAAGGTTGACGGAAACTCGGGGACTGCGCCTACCTGATGAGCCCCAAGAAGGGCGAAACCGGTGGTGGGCTGTCGAAGAGTTTTCAGCAACCTTGTGAGTAGTTTCTTTATGAAAATATACTGCGATATCTCGAATATCGTGCCAACTGAATCATGAGGCGGCCTGTGTGCAGCACATTCAGCTGGAGGACATCATAAACGAGAGAGTCAATTGAGTCTCCCGTGATTTGCAAAGGGCGAAACCGGTCGTGGGCTGTCGAAGAGTTTTCAGGAACTTTGTGAGTAGTTTCCCTAATGGAAAGAGACACATTTGCTCACCAGAGACCGCCAACGTTTCTCCGATCGACAGAGTCAAAAGTAGATTTCAGCTCAAGAAAAACAACCAACGTGGGACGTTTGTATTAGTGGCACTGTTCTAGAATTTGTCTCAAGGTGAAGATACAACCGATGCACTCTCGGTTAGGGCAAAACCCAGCTTGTTTTTTCACGAACCTGTCTCTCCGGGTAATCAATCAACGTAAGCAAAATAATCCCAGAGAGCACCTTAAATGTGACAGACATCAGGCTGATACTACGTTTCTGCATGACGTTCTTGCGCCCTTTTTGAAAACTCAGATTACGGTCAAGGAACTCCATTCCACTGGTATTCTGGTTACGTTCCAAACCTGAAGTATGGATGTTGGGCTGTTCACCAAGACCTTGCCACTTTCCTTGAGGAGTGCTGAGACCACCGCGCCAGGCGCCTTGTTGGGCTTGAGGGTTGATATCTCACGCTAGATTTCTGCAGCTGACGATGGTCTGCTGTTGACGTCCCATTCAGGCCTGCTGGGTTCTCCCAACAGTTGTGTTGAAGAAGATCAGCTGAACTGCCCTTTGAAGTGCTCAGTCCATCGCTCAGGACGACGATTGAGCGAGTGAATTGCCGTGCCGTCTTTTTCACATTTTGTTCCACTGATACCTGTCTCCTTTTGACCGGTCGGTCGAATCAACTTAAACAGGACTGCTGCTTGCAGCGAAGGCCCTCCGCATCTTCTGGACCTTCGAAATCCACCAGCGTCCTATCATTCTTCAAGCTCCTAATTATCCGGTGTTTGAGAGATCTGTGTGCGCCATTACAGTCGCTAGTTTCTGGTATGGACTTTCTGGCAGAAAATAAGATCTGCTGATCATGACGATATCCACAGTTCATTTAGTTGAGTCAGAGGCTTGGACAAACAGTTCTGAAGACTGAGAGCATAGTTTCTTTAGCCCGTCTCCAATCAATCTTCGTCATCTGCATCAATGTGCGCTTCCAGCAGCTTTCTAGATAGGTTAGCTCGATACTCTTCAGATGCTGAGACTTGTCGGAGTTGATGAATGAAAGTGCTATGCTTTCGTATGCGTAATGATGCCGGGGGGCGAAGTGATAACCGGGCCCGGACGATGGCATGATAAGAGTCAAGCCAGTCAAGTCACCAGAAGGAACAACAGTCTCTAGTTGACGCTCTCCATCGGTAAATGTAGCTATCTACCCCACCCCAAACCATCGGTCAACGAAACTGTGGCAGCCACCACTGCACAAAATGCACGCGGTTCTTACAGCTGACAATGGTGATGATGATGAAATTGGCCAACTGAGCCCATGATTGTCTTTCGGATGGTGTTAGGCAGGAATCCACGCGGATCCCACTATACCGCACGTCTTTAGGCGCTGCTACGGCCGAGAAGCCTGGCTCGGTCGAGGTTGGCCCAGAATTCGGGACGCTTGCCGGTCCGGCATCAAGACGAGATCTGATTGGTCAACAATCTGGACCCAACAGCCAATCATGACCCAGTATTGGCCAAATGCCGGTTGCCAATGGAGCTCCAGAACGCGTCAGAAATTCCAGAAAAGTTATAGCCGTTTACGCTATATATATACGAAGCGCTGTACAACTGTTCCTGATTTCGTTTTGGGCGTTAATAGATCTTTTGCACCTTTGGTGTTTATTTTGACGTGAACGCTAGCTAGGGAGGCTCAGACCGAGAACTAAGCTGAGGAAAATATCGTTACAACAGATGGTGACCTCCAAGTAACTAGATGTGAGCGTTTGAGTTGGAAGTTTGCACTGGCCATGAACAGAGATGATCTGCACACGACTACAGTCGTTTCCCATTATCCGCACATTGAGCACAGACTACAAATCCATCATCTAAGTATGCTTCTTCCAGGTTTTGCCACTCAACGTTAGCGTTCACACAACCTGCCAGCATGAGTATGTGTTTTTGTGACATATCTCGATAAAAACCTATGCTTCTCAGGCTCAGAAATGCAGTCTCTCTGGGCGTGCGCTGATAAGGGAAATAAATACCATTTCCCGCAGCGACCTGTATTAATCTTAATTGAGCCAGACGACCGCATAGCGTAAACACGACTGTCTAATGGGACCCAGTTCAGTCAGACACATTCTGCTTTGAGATTGATTGTATCAGTCTGTGACGCGTGATCCAGTGAGTGTCCGTTACAAGTGCAACTTCCGCATCCCCGATACCGCGAGCCATTGCGTCAGGATCATAATATAGCCGAAGAGTGAAATGTGGAGCAACTGAGCTCGTCCCAAACGACTTGAGGTGCACGACCAAAGTTGGGTCCTGGATGTGTGTTTCAGAGATACAGCATAAATCGACAGAGAGAGAAGGCAATGTTTCAGCACAACATGCCTATTGCCAAACTTAACAATAGGGATATTGAAGGCTGTAATGTGGAGTTTAGTAAAGCATCGTTGCGTTTGTTTCTATTGTCGATAGTCTAGACAGATAACATTGGTTACGAGCTGGCAGATGAGTTGACCGCTGTTCATCATTCGATGGACTAGGAGATGGGTATGGGTGAAGGCCGGTGAGCGAAGAGCTACAAGGGCCAATAATACTCCTCAGTTGCCCAGGCTGAAGAATCGGGTTTGGCTTCTTGGGCTTTTGGCTTAAAAGCCTGACTCACAAGGTAGTGGGAGGACGTGGGGTTTTGTTCCAAAACCCTGCCCCTAGCCTCAACGGTCTAACCTACTTGGTTGCAGGAGGTGGTCTGGCCCAGGGGTGCAAGGACTAAGGCCTAATTGTCTGGTTTCTATGGCGGCTGCGCGAAGAAGGTACCTTCTGTGTAACACACGAAGCTCTAATCTTAAAAATATTTCGACCGGCGGTCAAAGTCAACCGTTGGGCGATCAGTGTCTCAAAAACTGTCTTTAGAAAGGGTACGCGGACGCTCTGCGGCATCGAGGGTGTTCTCCAGTCTTATCCTTCAAAGGTTGACTAAACAAAAGTAGAGACAGATCCGCGAAAACCGAGATGGATTTCGTCCCGCAAGAGGATGCGTCGGTGATATTTTCACCCCGCGACAGATTCTGGAACAGTGACACTGCCTCCAGGAACGAAGAATGTTGGCCCTACTTGACCCAAAAGCACCTTTGGCTCTGTGGACCATCATGCACTATGACAGTGCCTGTGGAGCAGAAGTCCTCCATAAATTCTTGACGCTCCTATCTTATGCCAACTCCCGTGGATGTATGAAGGTCAACGGGAAGCTCTAGCCTGAGTCCACTATATCAAGTGGGAGAAGGTGAAGAATGAAGAAAGCCTTCGCTGTGGAGTTGTTTATTAGAGAAACACCAGCTGAACAGTTATAGACTATTGGACACGGGGAGCAAAACTCTCATATGCATATTGTTCGCAAAACTGAATATCCATCTTCTTGAACGCGTCTTCCTGAACTTTCCTGGATATTCATTGGCTGTTACTCAAATGCAATCAGATGCTACAAAGCGACTCCACAAATTCCCTAATAGATCTCATATTTCATGAGAAGCGAAACGGATTTACGAGGCTCACACCCGCAGAACTCCCTCCATATACCCTACGAGATCGAGATGCTCCAAGGGCATTCGCTCACAGATATCGAGTACACAGACGACATAGCTCTTCGTCACTCTGACGCCACCTTAACGACGACACGAAATAATCTAAATAAGTCTGTCTCAAGGTCTGGCATGCGCTTCCCATCTGCAGAGTACAGCATGCTACCACAATATGGAGTTGGCTCTAACCCTAAACTCCAGCTTGTGAATCAGCCGATTGTAGTAGTACACAAATGTCAACCTGGGCAGCTGTGTCAGTTCCACGGGTCTAGCGAAAGACAATGTTCCCATTCGGATTTGGAAGGCCAGAGCTTTTGTGACCTACAGCACCTGCGGTGCAAATGTGACATGAGCTTCTCTGTCCGAAGTCAAGTTTACAATGCTGCGGTGCTCTCCACATTGTTTTATGGGTTTGAAATCTGGTAGCTGCGGGTTGAGCATATTTAAAAACTTTGACGGTTTGACCGATGGTGTCTTCGGAGGAGGGCAGCTACGCATGGGCGCCATCGAGACGGCAACTAGGACACGTATAAAAATGTCTCTAACCCTTGATGTGTCCCGTCTCTGGGTCCCCATCCATGGATACGACAATGACCAGCAGAACTTAATTTGCTGGTAATGGCTTTCATGCTTCGCTGCCAAGTCATTGATTGAACTCCCCTGGCTAGTTTCCACACACCAAGTGGTTGTGCGAAAAGAACCTTTCGACGACTGGCATACGGAACACGTGGCAGAGCCAGCGCAACCTATGCAGTACGATCAGTTATCTATCGTGCGCGAGTTACTGCTTCCAACAGCCGTTTGACGTTAGCATTGCTGATCCGGCGTTCCCACCAGACTCGGGCAATGCTCCGAAGACATCGATAGTCAGACACTGGAAACCTTTTGACCTCCTCAACGTGCAGTGGCCAGGTTTCTGATCCGTACAGTAATATGGAGCGCATCGCAGCATTGTAAACTTGACAACTGATGGATAGGCTTGTCACGTCTACGCCACAGGCGATGCAATTTCACAGAAGCTGTTCCGGCCAAACCAATCCGAATGGAAACGTCATCTTTCGTGAGATAAACGAGACTGAAACAACTGTTCAGGTCTACTACCACAATCCGTTCATCCGCAAGTGTGAGGCTAGGTTTCGAGCCAACCCAGCTTCGCAGCAGCAGTTTACACTTTGCAGGTGTGAAGCACACGCCAAACCGTGAGGCGGAATTACTTAGATCATCTAACAGTCTGCATTAACGCGCCGTCGGATCCAAGAGCTATGTCGTCTTTGTATTTGTTATCTATGACAGAATGCTCAGGGTGCACTTCAACCCCATAGGCTGGTAGTGATTCCTTCATAATTGCATCGCATCCACTGAAATACTAAAAGCCTGGGACTAGATTCGCAACAACCCCTCCTGAAACTCTCTTAACGATGTCATTTGATTTCACCTATCTTCACGTAATGGCAACATCAGCAGGTGAAACACCACCTGCTGGTAGTGGGCACAACAACCTCGGACTTTTTACATCCTCTCATGCCATTATGATAGCGACGTTCATTATTCATATCCTGCTGTGTTTAGGGCAAAGGGGTGTAGCCCATAAGATGAATGAACTCCAAGATACTGTCATCAAAGGCTCTAACCTGGGAAATACATTCTTTACCTCCTGAGGCATCCGATTTTCGTCTCATTACCTCGACGATTACAAAACTGGATAATATTGGATTGTAGGTATTCTTGTCAGGCCCCAATTTTTGCAGAAGTTTTTGGATGGCCCCACTACATTCTCACAAACTAGCAAACCTCGGAATACAAAGAGCTCATTATATTCAAAATTTGGGGGCATTCTTTGATGAACGAGCATGCCAAGAATAACAGACTGCTAAATGGAGTCAAATGCGGCTTGAAAATCCATGGATAGTAAAACTGAGTCACTTGAACCGGTATTAATGTACTGGCATCTGGCGGAGCTTGAAGGTTTAGTAAACCCAGTCCCAATTGGACCGAAATCCTGTTTCGTATTTTCGATTGTGTTTCACGGGTAACTAGAGGGCAACGAAGGACACGTGGCACCAAGTCTCATCAGAGCTGGCGTCAAGTTGACCTCATCGGTCATACGGTAGGCACTGCAGGCTTACTCACGAGAAGGGACAGCGTTTATTTGAGCGCTTGATTCAAGCCTGACTCACAAGGCAATGCCAGAATGTGGGATTTCGTTTCGATAGCCGTAGCCTGGTTCACAAGTCTGACCTACAAGCTAACGCGGGTCGTTCGAGCGACTGTCTACTTCACATGTCCCTTCAACTAAGTACGTGGCATAAACGGCATAGGGTACTTTACATCACAGCTCTATCGCATGGGATGAAAAGTGCAACCGCAAAGCCAGATTACAGTGAACTGAGTCGCGTTTGTAGGTCTTCTTGTCCCGCATGGAGTTCACGGACACGTCACACGAGCGCTAGGGGGCGTTGAGGGGCATAAAACCCACCTGATGACCTCAGTATATACGTCATAGATAATCCAGCAGGGGTACATAAAGCTGTTGCGTTTAACTAAAAAAACTTCACTTAACCCGTTTCCTTCCAGTTAGTAAAACAGTGATACTGTACGACCTGTGTGGTAAAAAAAAGACGGTGACTAAATTGGGGTTCGGTCAAATAAGTTGGAAGCAGAAAAATGGTCTGGAATCCAGTCACAACTGGGCCACTCAACAGAGGTGGGTATGACACCGAATGTACTCAACTTACCGTCACTGTTAAGACTCAAAAACTGCACGAGTTGCGGGAACGTGAGATATATGCCTAAGTCGGCTCCGAAATGGTGTATGAAGGAGCACAAAGCCGCGAATTCCGATTGCTGCTTGAGGGTCCTTGTCATTGGATCAATGGGAAAATTCCAAGAACTCACTCTGGGCAGTCACGCTCGTCCGATACACCCTTGTCATCCTCTGAAACAGCCTCCATCCACCAGAGTCCGCTGTAGCGTGGGATGTCAGGAAGTCA